GGCCTGTTGGGTCTTGGCGTCGTAGCCTTGGACCGATTGTTTTACCATTGAAGATTCTTGCATTGGTTAGGGATAACGAGCTATTTTTCCTTATCTTTATACATTTAATATTTTTATTTTAATGAGTGCAGAATGTAAATGAACATAGGTAATATGGTTGTCTTGACGAGAATGTAAGTTTGCCATTACCTCTTTAGGGACATACCTTATATCAAGAATTTAATCATTGTTATATATTCAGGATTTAACATCAAAATTTTTGATTAAGCTGGATTAAAATATTAAAATATCTTCAGCTAGTTGATCCAAGTAGCTTGTAGTTGAAATATTTATCTAGTAAATATAATTTGCCAGAGTGCAGATCCTTGTATGATGAATGCAGGAAAAATGATCAAAAAAACAAAAAACTGCATGTGTAATTTTTATTGTTGGATAACTTAATCAATGGTTTCTTAGTGACTACTTGTGAAACCTAATTGTTGAAATACCAAATACATCAGTGTTAGATGCATGTACCTTGCTCGGAGAGTATAATGAATGCACAATCAAAAGGCTACATTTATAATCTCAATTTAAAAAATCTGCATGTATAACTAAAAGATTTATACATCTAACCTTGAACCTATTTGTTTGAGATTTAAAAAAAAATATTTTTACATAGTTTGGAGATTTTTTTAAAATGTGATTTTTTTTTGCAGAGATTTTATAAAAAATAGACATTATTTTATGTTTGGATACAATAATAAAAAATTAATTATTAGTTAGTTATTTTTAAAATTTATTATATCTTTCTTGATTTTTGTTTTATAAAAATAATTTATTATTATTTTATGTTAAAATTTTATGATATTTTCGCATATTCTGTCTTTTTAAAACACTATTTCTTATCTATCATGTTAGAATAGCTTCTTAAAATAATCAAAAACATACTTTTTTTTTCAAATTCTACTTATTTTAAAAAGTTTAAACAAACATCATAAAAAACTCATGAAATAATTTTTTAAAAAAATAAGTGATTTTTCATTAAATAAGCTAAAACAAACGGGTCCCTTATATATTTATTTTTAGTCAAAATGATTGGTTAACATTATATTTGGATCTTTTACAATGGCAAAATATAACATTTATCTTTTAGCATTTCTTCACAATTTATGAGAGTTCACTGATATTATTTTTTACAAGTACCTATTTATAATTTTTTTCACTCAATTGTGTCAGGCCAAATTTTAAATATTAACTTATAATCAAATTAAAATTATAAAAAATAAATTATAACAAGTTTAGAAAGTAAATTATAATTGATTTAAAGTCATAAAAACTAATAATTAATTTTTTCAAAGATTATTACAAAAAAAGTCATCGATTCCAATGTTCGGTTTCTTTTTATGTCTGCTTTTTCTTCTGACTGCTCTTTTTTTATTTTTCCTTTTTTCGATTAAAGGATCAATCAAAAGTTCATGCCAAAATATATATATATATATACAAAATAAAGGGTTAAACAAGATAAACAAATAATAAAAAGAGAAAAAAATAACAATTATTACAGCACTTTAAGAAATGAAAATTAATTGAAAAAAAAACTCTCTTTGATAAATAACAAATAGTTCATAACGGGTGATTTCGTTTTACAATGATGTGGTATTCATTCATGAATGGTAAAGATAGATAAATAGTGACCAATTGTATTGGTTTCATATAGTATACTGGTCTTCATTTTGTTGGTAACAACTACTGACCAAATTATTTATGTGTTTAGTGTCACTTTATATAAATAAATTTTTAAATTAAAAACAAATTGATTTTATAATAATTTTTAAATATTATTTTTTTAACTAAAAATTAAACTAGAATTTATTACCATTTTTTTTTGTGAAACAAAATTTTAAGATTTTATGGCCAAACAACAAATGCAACTGAGACCATTCCCCAAAAAAAGGGGGGGGAATGGTATTAAGAGCCTTAAAAACAAACTTTATTGTAATTTGGGTATAAATAAATTTGATATTGCTCTGCAGGCCTTGAAGCCCTTATTGGCAATTTTTTTTAAACCAAAAGTATAATTTTGCCCTTTGTTTGATTTAAATTCAAAACCTGCGTGAACTCTCAAAACAACAAAATAGACCATGCACGATATAACATTTACTATGCACAAGACAATGTCCACGCATTTCAACAGAAAGTCCATACATTTCAAGTATTTTATTAGCCTTGGCTTTAAAAAAAATGACCAGGCAGACCATGCACGACACAATATTCACTATGTATAATACAATGTTCACGTGTGCTGAACAAAAAATTCATACATTTTTAGTATTTCACTAGCCTAGGCTATAACAAAATGACGTTAGGCAGACCATGCACGATACAACATCCATTATGCACAAGACGATGTCCACACATGCTCAACAGAAAGTCTATGCATTTCCAATATTAAGAAAGACAATTACATCATATATGAATAATTTCATATTGGTATTAGCTTAGGTACTAAAACAAGTACCCACATGAAATTTGACACAATATTTCAAGTCTGATATATACAAAAAGTTAGCTACTATATTCAAAATATCTAACAGTTGCTTCTTCATATACAAACAAAAAATATTTGTGATTTCCACTTACCCAAAAAATATTATTTGGAAATGCTTTCATATACATAATTATAGTTGCTTGTGTACACTAAAGAAGTACAATGTAATCACTTCTCATGCTGGGTTAGGATTCTTGCATGTCTTGCGACTGTGTCCAACCTTTTCACATTTTGAACAATGATAAATTTTCTTATCTTGGAAGACTCTATCCTCCTTATTCGTGGCCTCCTGGGAGAACGGCTAGTTAAAGACGGTTGCAAGAAAAAAAGTTTGTGATATATTCTCAACTGAAAGTCCATATGATTTCAATTTATCATTATATTAGGCTTAACAAAATACTGAATTTAGGCAAATAATGCATAACACAATATTCACTATGCATAATACAAGGTTCATTTATTCTCAACTAAAAGTCCATAAGATTCTATTTTATCAGTAGGCTAGGTTTGACAAAATACAAGCAAAGAAATACACAACACAATATGCACTATGCACAATATAAGGTTTATATATTTTCAACTAAAAATTTATACAATTCTACTTTATCAGTAGGCTAGACTTAATAAAATGGACAAATAGGTAAATAATGCATAACACAATATCTATAATGCACAATATAAGGTTCATTTATTTTCAAATAAAAGTTTAGAAGATTCTACTTTATCAATAGGCTAGACTTGACAAAATGCACGAGTAAGCAAACAATACACAATACAATATCCACTATGCACAATATAAGGTTCATATATTCTCAACTAAAAGTTCATACGATTCTACTTTATCAGTATGCTAGGCTTAATAAAATGCACAAATATGTAAACAATGCATAACACAATATCCACTATGCACAATATAAGGTTCATTTATTTTCAACTAAAAGTCCATAAGATTCTACTTTATTAGTAGGCTAGGCTTGACAAAATGTAGAAGTAAGCAAATAATGCACAACACAATATCCACTATGCACAACTTAAGGCTCATATATTCTTAAGTAAAAATCCATACGATTCTATTTTATTAGAAGGTTGGGCTTAACAAAATATACAAATAGACAAACAATGCATAACACAATATCCATTATGCACAATATAAGATTCATTTATTTTCAACTAAAAGTCCATATGATTCTACTTTATCAGTAGGCTAGGCTTAACAAAATGCATAAATAGGCATACAATGCATAACACAATATTCATTATGCACAATATAAGATTCATTTATTCTCAACTAAAAGTTCATAAGATTCTACTTGATCAGTAGGTTAGACTTGACAAAATACACACATAAGCAAACAATGTACAACACAATATCCACCATGCACAACACAATCTTCATATATTCTAAACTGAAAGTCCATGTGTGTCCAGTTTATTAGTTGGCTAGGCTTAACAAAAAGTTTCTCAAGTTTATGAACAATAAAAAGTCTGTATATAATATGGCAAGATCCATTTATTAACAACACAATATCCATATATTTCACATGATTTGTGTGATTAAACTGAACATTTGAAAAAGTTTCTCAAGTTTAGGAAGAACAAAAGGTTCGTATATAACATGAAAGTATCCATTTGCTAACAACATAATGTTCATATATTTACAATACAATGTTTATCGATATGATACATATAAATATCTGCATAAGTTACTTGCAAAGTTTGCACAACGTAAACTCCATAAATAACAACATAAAGTTCATAATCAACATCTACATCAAAACATTTATATCAGTTGTAGAAAAATATGTATCAGAAACAACAAAAAGTCCATAAATAATAACTTATTTTCATTAAATGAATGTGAACATGTACATTATAATTAGATAAAATTGATATGGCTCAAACTCCCTCTATATCCTTTTTTGAGAAAATAAAACTGATAATGGCAGATGCAGCACTTGATCCATTTTTTCGACACAATGGCGGATCGTTTCAAGAAGCTGGTTGGTGTGAAAGGAATGTAATCGAACGAATACCTGATCATCTTCTCCATACGCATTTGGATAAAAGTGGATCGCCCACTCATACTTGTTGAACAAAAAAGTTTCAAATGAGATAAAGAAGGAAGAAGGAGGAAGAAGAAGAGAGGGAATAGAGAAGCATGGTGGGAATGAAAATGAGTTTAGTTGTTGCATCAGTGTTGAAAGGGAAGAGAGAGAAGGAAGAGAGAGGAAGAACAGAGGAAGAAGAAGACATTTTCGTTCAGTAGCTAGTTATGGAAGGGACAAATTGGTCATTTCACCAAAAAATATAATTGCAAATGAGGCTTTCAGAATAATTTCAGAATTTATTAGATCTTATCTGTAAAATTTTTGCTTTTTAGGGCCCTTAGTGCTATTCCTCCCAAAAAAAACACACAATTGCAACTGAGACCTGTAAACGACACCGTTTTAGCGGTATCAGTCCATCGACCTGAGTGCGCCCCTGACATTTCCCAGGGAGAAAGAAGAGAGCGAAGAGGCGGCCGAAGGACGTCGTATTGGCAGGGGCTACTAATCTCAACAATGGCAACTTCAAAGCTCGTGTCTAGGTTGTCGTCTAGGCTACATCCTCTTGCTCTTAGAATCACCAAACCAACTCTCTCTTCCCCGCTCAACGCTGCCTCTCCACGACGTGTTTCTTGCATTTCACGGTTAGATTTTTCTTCCTCGCATTGTTTTTCTAGCCTGATAGATTTTTCTTAGTCACGCTTTTTTGTTTAGTTCCCGAGGAAAAATGATAGGGCTTTCTCTCATTCTCTTAACCTTGGAATTATTGCTTCTAGAATCATGTATACTGGTTTGTCATATTTGTGTTTTTTCTTTTGGCCAGGTTACCGGTGGAGTTGGGTTGCTCGGGATCAATGATGCCGTTGCATAGCGCAGTAGCTTCAGCTCGGTTAGTATCAAGTTTGTCCACAGAATCTTGGAGCTGGGGATTAGTTCCTCAAGGTACGTTCATTAACTTGATGGGCAATGTTGCTTGGTAGTTGTGCATTTGAGATGAATTTTCTTGGGGAAAAATGATTTAGGAGATATATGTCAGCATAGAAATATACGTCTCGGTTCCTGCGTATTATCTGTTTGTGTTTTGGTCCCAGAGAAATACCACCATAGTAATAATTTGCATCCGGAATTGTGTCCCCCCCCCCCCCCCCCCCCGGGCGTGAGTAACTTAGCTTAATGCTATGGTATTTTATACTCAGCTTTATGTGTTTGGCTTACTATGTGTGCTTTGTTCATGAAACAAATTGGATCATGAATAATGAAGGAGTTAAAAATTGGCAGGAATTCAAACACTCCAGAAGTCTAGATACTTTAACATTCCTCCTTTTCATACCTCTTCTTTCTATCTTTCCATTTTAGCAGCCTTAGGGGTGGGAAATTCCTTCTTCTTTTGTGGAGATAGACCTTTCGAACAAACCATTTTAATTATTTGAGGGAATGGTTGAGAGTGTTGTCTTCTGTTGTTGAGGGGTTTAGTCCATTGTCTTCCTGCAGAATAAGTTTAATCTTGTGAAGCATTTAAGTAGTACAAGTTTACAAAGTAATCCTCTTTCCATCTGATTTTTGTTATGGTTTGATTGCGTAGTAGTTAGACATACCTTGATTACAATCATACCAAAATTTTCTTTTTATATATTTCTTGTTGGTGAATGATGGTTTGTATAGTTTGACGTTTCTGAAGGAGTTCCGCTTTGGATATGGATCCCTTTAATTGCCACTATCTCAATTACCCCTTTAATTCACCATTTATGTTATCATTTCATGCTCTACTAGGTTTTTTACCTTCTTAATTGTAGTCAGAGCCACGTGGCATATTGATAATCATCAGTTAAACATAAAATGATTAGATTTGAAGCGTTTGAGGGACAGTTGAGGGAGTGACAATTGAGGGGATGCGTATCCGTTCAGCTTCTAGTCTAATGGTATACCTAACGACCTTTATGATAATTTACAGATTTGTTTGAGAAATTTAGATTAAAAGGATCCCGTGTCTTTCCTTCCATTTATAAATGGGTGTATTGCATTTATGTTTGTGGTTTAACTACATTGCAAACCAAATTATATAGATAATATTATCATTTTGTTGGAAAATGGAATTGGTCAGATCTGTCATAGAGTTTACTTGGATTGATTGAGATGTGTTTTCCAGGCAGTGTGGTTAATAGAAAGTAGGGTGGGGCAAAGAGACTCTTAAATGTTCAGTAATTAGTGCTATCATTTTCATTTGATCCAATATAACTTCAGTTTGAAAATCAGAAGGATGGGAGATACTATCTAAGGTAATTACTGAATTTAATTGACAGTAGTTGCACTAAAGTTTTCTGGCTTTTAAGAGTGTAAAAAAGTGTGTTCATTGCCCATTGATAACTTTCAACAGTTCCGGGGAGTTAACTCCCAAAATATGATTATCATGAAGAAATATTATGTACTAAAAAACTAATATAATTAATTTCAGTGATTGCATCATTTTCTAAAATATTCTGGAGCGCATTAAACTCAATTTCAATTTAGCTTTTCACACTTTGTGAGAATTTCAAAATTAGGCGGGCCCACATAGTTGACTAGTTGTGATATTGGCATAACTAAACCGTGGATTGATAAAAAATTATTGCTTTATAACAAATAATTGATAAGATAATTGTGTGTTTAGATGCATATTTTTCTTGTAGTATGAACTACACAGTTAAATGGCTGAAGTTAACGAGCTTTACAGATGCTTTTCTTTCTCCAATTTACAGGTATTTCCATGCCTTTATGACAGTACCTATCTGCAACTAATTGGTGCACTGTGGCATTTTCCATTTCATGGTATAATAGGGTTCCCCGTAGCATGTTTTCTTTTTATTATTGTCTTAAGGCCTTTGACTTTGTATGCTTCACCTGACATCTTTGAGGAAAACGTGGTGCAACTGATGTTGCTTACTTGTTAGATGGGTTCATTTTATGGTAATCTATTTATGGAATATCTTTTTTGGGATTTCCTGGCACTGGCTTAGCTTTTTGTCAAACTAATAATGTTATGCATTGCATTTGAGGTTTTAACAAATTGGTGCAAACTAGGGCAATTCTAGACCATTGCCAAACTAGATATGATATCTTCAACCATTTGGCCCACTGGGGAAGAAGATCCTAGTCTTATGGTTGGAAGTGAGAATTGGTGGATTGGGTTGGGTTGCATTTTTCCCCCCTTTTGAGTACAAATGGCTATGGAAAAACTTTAGAATGGTTACCAACTAAAGTTAACATAAGTAGAAGTTCTTGTTTAAGTTAAGTGGTTGGGGATTTGAACTCCAGCTCTTGTGTATGTAACACTTTAGTTGGAAGAGGTCTTCTCATTGCTTTCAGGACCTTGGAGGAGATATTCTTTACTATCAATAGAGCCTACTCGTAATGCTTACTGAAAAAAACTTTAGGACGGTTAGCTTTGGTGTCCATAAGCATGCTGCTTATCTCCTATACCAAACGGAAAAGCTCTCTGCAAAATCACTTTCAATTGAATAAAGCATTGCGAGCCGATCAGTTTGCAGATTCATTAGCTTCTCTGAATGTGTCGGGGATTGTTTTGATTAGGATATGCTAAACTTGGCCACTCTTTTTGCACACATCTCATAACAATGTGAAACGGACTGAAACGGACAACAGAACTAATACACGAGAGTTACAGAATTGAAGCCAAACGTGTTCCGTTACCCTTCATTAAGCCAATAAAACGTTTAGTATTTACATTTGTAACGTTAGCTGATTACTGTTTTCGTTCAGAGTCCTAACACTATAAATAGGACACTCACTTTGTTGTAAGAGAGGCAGACTAGAAATAAAATTCAGAGTTTTCTCTTTTCATTCGGTTTCTGTGCCATTTTGGTATCAGAGCTGGTCCAGAGAACGAGAGAGTGAGTTACAGTTGAGAAAGTACGCCGGAAAGAAGAGAGATTCAGAGGAGGAGTCCCTGACGTCTTCGCGCTTTACAAACCGGGCATTTTCTCAGAAAACTAACATCACCATCGTGCTCAGGAGGTCCGAAAACGTGGAACAAGAGGTTCCCCGTCACCGGAAACAGTCGCACGCGCCGCCACGCGCCACCGTCGGAAAACCACGCGCCTCGCCGCCGGTCCACGCGCCGTCACGCGCTATCTGAAGGTTGAAGACGCTGACGTCAGCTGCCACGTCATCGTTCTGACCGGTCAACGACAGGTCAGACCAATAGTTTTATGCCACGTGTCACAGTCGCCACGTCACTGCGCCCAGTTAGCCAACTTTTCAGAAATTGCATTTTCGCCCCAAATCTTTCAGTAATTCTAAATTTACCCCTATTTTTTTTATGAAATTTCATATTATCTCCCAAATTTTTCAGAAATTCCATTTTAACCCCTAAACTTTCATAAAATTACACTTTTGCCCCTTGATTTTACCTGAATTCCAGTTTAACCCCTATATTTTTCATAAATTTCAATTTGACCCATCATTCTTCTAGAATCGCTATTTTACCCCCTAGACAGTCCAAAATCCCCATTTTGCCCCAAGCCTTTGAAAAAAAAAAATTCACTTTACCCCTATATCCTTCAACGTTTCCAATCGCACCCCAATCTTTATCCCTAGCCTTGACACTTATTCAAAATGCCTCCAAGACGTAGACATGTGCACGAGGTTGAGATGGAAGAGTTGAGACGTAGGATACGAGAATTGGAAGCCACTGTGGAATTGCAGCAAACTCTGTTAAACAACAACAGAGAAAACTTAGAGAGAGATTCGGGAAGCAGTAGTTCGTCATCTACTGAAAACCGCCGCCGCCCACGACAACAACAATTCCGCCCTAATGACATCAAGGTTGACGTTCCTGAATTCGAGGGAAGGCTCCAGCCAGACGAGTTTGTAGATTGGCTACAAACTGTTGAACGAGTATTTGAATACAAGGAGATTCCAGATGCGCAGAAAGTCAAAATTGTCGCCCTCAAACTTAAGAAACATGCTTCTATTTGGTGGGAAAACCTCAGACGGAAGCGAGAACATGAGGGAAAGCGCAAGATTGAAACCTGGGAGAAAATGAAACGCCAGCTCACCAGGAAATTTTTACCAGATCATTACCACCAGGATAATTTTATCCAGTTGCAAAATCTTCGACAGAGATCTTTATCTGTAGAAGAATATACTAGAGAGTTTGAACAACTCATGATGAAGTGTGATATTTAGGAGAAGGAGGAGCAAACAATAGCCCGGTACCTTGCAGGCTTAAACACAGATATCAGTCGTCCAGTCCAACTTCAACAATATTGGACCTTGGATGATGTCATCCGTCTGGCCGTGCGTGTTGAGAAGCAGATGCCCAAGAGATCCGCTTTCCAACCTTCATCCTCTAGGAGTTATCCAGAAGGCCGTAAAGCAGAATTTCAGCAGACTAACTCCTCAAGCAAGCCACAACCTACTGCTATGCGCAAACCACCATCCAATGCTGCCAAGGAATCTGGTTCCAAAGCAATCAAATGCTTTAAATGCCAAGGATTTGGCCATATTGCTGCGGACTGTCCTACACGAAGGGTTGTCACCATTCGAGAAGGATCAGGGTATGAAGCACTTGAAGAAGGTGAGGAGGACGATGAGTTCTACGGTACTGATCCCGTATATGACGAGGAGGTCACACCTGTTGATCAAGGAGAAGCATTGGTGCTTAGACGAAGTCTGCATACAACAGTAGTCAAAGAAGAACCTTGGTTACGACGCAACATTTTTCACACTCGTTGCACGGCCCAAGGAAAAGTTTGTAATGTCATCATTGACAGTGGAAGCTGTGAAAATGTAGTATCTAACTACATGGTGGAGAAATTGAAGTTGCCAACACAAGATCATCCACAACCTTGCAAGCTTCACTGGCTCAACAAAGGGAATGAGGTAAGAGTTTCTAAACAATGCCTTGTGACCTTTTCTATTGGGAATCGATATTGTGATGAAGTTTTATGTGATGTTGTTCCCATGGATGCATGCCACCTTCTCTTGGGGAGGCCATGGCAATATGACCGACATGCTATGCATAACGGGCGAGCGAACACTTATTCTTTTACGAAAGATGGTGTCAAGTTTACACTAGCACCTCTACCACCCAATGAGATTAGCCAATCTTCAAGGGAATCTAGTGTTTCTAAGCCGTTAGTGTCTTTGTTGACTAAGGAGGAATTCAAGGTGTCAAAATCCGAAGCCCAAATGATGAGCATTATTCTGATGCTTGAGGTGAACGATGAGACGGTCAATCCACCTGGAGTCATTCCGTTATTATCAGAATTTTCAGATGTAATATCCGATGAGATACCACCAGGGTTGCCTCCAATGCGAGACATACAGCATGCCATTGACTTCGTTCCAGGAACAGTCATTCCTAATAAGCCTGCTAATAGGATGAGTCCTCAGGAAAATGCCGAAGTCCAACGACAAGTTGAAGAGTTGTTGAAGAAAGGGTTAGTTCGAGAAAGTATCAGCCCTTGTGCTGTACCTGTTCTTCTAGTACCTAAGAAGGATGGGAGTTGGAGAATGTGCATTGATTGCCGAGCCGTCAACAAGATCACTATTAAGTATCGGTTTTCGATACCTCGGCTTGATGATATGCTGGACCAGTTGCATGGTGCCACTACTTTCTCTAAAATTGATCTTCGTAGTGGGTACCATCAAATCAGAATTCGACCAGGAGATGAGTGGAAGACTGCTTTCAAGACCAGAGATGGCTTATATGAGTGGAATGTGATGCCTTTTGGGTTAACAAATGCTCCTAGCACATTTATGCGCCTGATGAATCAGGTATTGAGACCCTTCATTGGTAAATTTATTGTTGTGTACTTTGACGATATTCTTATTTATAGTAAGAATCAAGAGGAGCATTTAGATCACTTGCGGCAAGTTTTGCAAGCCTTGCGTGAGCAGAAGCTTTATGCAAATCTCAAGAAGTGCACCTTCCTCACCAACGAAGTTGTGTTTTTGGGTTACATCATTACCGCGGAAGGTGTTCGCGTTGATCCAAGCAAAGTTGTAGCCATTGACAGCTGGCCAATTCCAAAATCCATCCAGGAGGTTCGAAGCTTCCACGGATTAGCTTCTTTCTACAGGAGGTTCATCCGTAATTTTAGCTCAATTGCCGCACCACTTACAGACTGCACCAAAGGAGAGAAGTTTCAGTGGACAGAGCAAGCTCAGAAAAGCTTTGAGGAGCTTAAGAAGAAGTTGACCAAAGCTCCAGTCCTAGCTCTTCCTAATTTTGATCAAGTATTTGAAGTTAGCTGTGATGCTTCTAACACTGGCATTGGTGCTGTCTTAAGCCAGGAGGGCCATCCCATTGCCTTTTTTAGTGAGAAGCTCAATGATGCCAAGCTCAAATATTCTACCTATGACAAGGAATTCTATGCCATTGTCCGAGCTCTTCAATATTGGAGTCATTATCTCCTAAATAAAGAGTTCATACTTTTTTCGGACCATGAGGCTCTCAAGTATTTGAATTCCCAGCAGAAGATCAGCCGCAGACATGCTCGTTGGAGTGAACTCTTGCAGTCTTATCCATTCCTTATCAAACATAAGGCTGGAACTCTGAACTCCGTAGCAGATGCCCTTAGTCGTCGCCATGTGCTACTTACAACACTACAAACCACGGTTGTTGGATTTGACCTTGTCAAAGAGTTATATCAAGATGATCCTGATTTCCGAGGAGTGTGGGAAGCAACTATAAATCAACCTTTCCACCAGTTCTACAGACACGACGGGTTTTTATTTCGAGGTAAAACCCTCTGTATTCCACAGGGTTCCTTGAGAGAAGCCATAATTTGGGAAGCACATGATGGTGGATTAGCTGGACATTTTGGACGAGATAAGACAATTAACCTAGTGAAGGAGAACTTTTACTGGCCTCGACTTGAACAGGATGTCAACAGGCATATACAGAGATGCAGAATTTGTCACTTGGCTAAATCCAAGGGTCAGAATACTGGACTATACATGCCTCTGCCAAT